AAAAAGAAAAATCAATTTATTTTGAATAAAGATATGTTAATCATTAAAAAAATGCCCTAATATATAACAATAAACACCTCTTGGAGGCAAAACGAGAGATGGCCCAGCTTGATCTGAACTTGATTCTTCTGAGTCGTCATACAAGCTATCAAATTCTCCAGGAAATCTTTCCATACCTCCACGTGATGCTATAAATGCTTCTCTTGCACGAGCTCTATTAGCTTCTTCATTTTTCATAAAGGCTGCTCTAGCCGCAGCTTCTCGTTCTTCAGTGTCGGCACTTGAAGGTATTAATCCAGAACTAGGAACTTCATCACCATGTTGCGCTATTTGAGTGGTTCCTTGTACGTCTTCATATATGTCTCTTTCTGCACCGCCATCAGCACTACAGCAATCTATAAATTTAAAAAATAACATTTTATATGTCAATTGTTTTTTTCCTGAATTTACTTCAGATACTTTAAACAATAATATTAAATAAATTAATATAATAAATTTTAGCATTGTAATGCGGTAAATGTCCAGCTCGTGTCCCGCATGTCCGCAAAAGGCATTCTGCAAAAATGATTTTTTCTGCCTTCCTTCTCTCTACCATAATTCTCCTCGCGTAGTCAAATGATGGGTTGACAGTTTGGCGCAGATAATAAAGGAAGTTAGAGAAATTATTTTTATTAATATTCAAGCTTTATTACAGTCTCTAAATTTAAGATTGATAATAAAAAAACGATGTATATTCTCAAGTTATAAAAATTAAAAAATTTTTTATAAAATTTTTTAAAATGGCAGAAGCTTACAAAAAGCTTCCAAGGAAAATTAGATAATTTTTTTCGTAATTTTCTCCACCGGAAATCAGAAAATCGTTTAAATTAAATTATTAAATAAAGCGACTACTTTCTGTTGAGACAGGCTCTTTTTAATTAATTATTTGTAGTAATAAAAGAAGCTAACTTTTTCAGATTAAATTTAAATTTTCAATCTTAAATTTAGAGACTGTAATAAAGCTTGAATATTAATAAAAATAATTTCTCTTACTTCCTTTATTATCTGCGCCAAACTGTCAACCCATCATTTGACTACGCGAGGAGAATTATGGTAGAGAGAAGGAAGGCAGTAAAAATCATTTTTGCAGAATGCCTTTTGCGGACATGCGGGACACGAGCTGGACATTTACCTTGTAATGCTAATAAATGAAATTGAATAGTTGAGTTTAAATACCGTTTAATGAAAAATGAATCTAATTTGTAAGGGCAAATAAATATAAAATAATAGACAGCTTTGCTTTATGCGAATGAAAATTTTTTTTATAAAAATTGCCGTAATTGTGAAATAGTGTCTCCTCCCTTCACCTTTTGTAAATTATTTTTAATTGACTTATGATTTGGCGGGAAGACAAAAATAAAGTACATTAAAAGGGCATCAAAATTTTCCATTTTTATATTTGCCGCCTTTTTTATTTTAATGCCATTTAATTTTATAAATTTTAAAGTAGTTTGTAAAATATTACAAACTACAAATTTATTTTCAGAAAACCAACATTTTTGGCCATAATTTCTAAAATTATTGCTAGAAAATTCTGAAATTTTTGGAGAACATAGATAAAGGTACGAGAGTTATTATTGCAAAATTTGATCATTTTTGATAACAAATTCGCTATCTTATAAGCCCGCGCCAAAACGGCCCCGCGCCAAAACGGCCCGTGTCGGGAAAATCAAGTCGGAAGAATTTCCCGAGTCTGGAGTAGGGATCAGGATACCCTAGTAGGGATCAGGATACCACTAGTATTTTAAATATTTGTAAAGAAATGTAAGCACGTCAGTAGAAAATGTCTAACTTGAAATTGAGATTATTCGATTATTATCGGCCATTGAATCGAATTTGAAATCTACAAACAATTCAAACATTTAAGAAAAGATAATTAGAAAATAAGATATATTGTGTTGTAATATTGTGTTAGGTTTCCAAACCCCAGGGTGATTGCCTACGGGACAACCGTCCAACATCCTCGTTAAACTGCCTTTCTCGGCTCGGTTTGTGTTTTAACAATTTTGGAAATTTTCTATTTTGATTAGCAAATTTAAAATATTTCTTACTTCCTGCATTTACGACAGATATTTTGAATAATAATAATATTAAATAAATTAATATAAAGAATTTTAGCATTGAAAAATATTAATAAAGTAAATCTAAAAATAAAAAAAATAAATATAAATGAGAGTTTATATGAGAGTTTATATATCATTATAAAATATAATCAATGGCCAAATATGAATATAATATTATAATAAAATAATTTTTGCAAATGCAAAAAAAATTTTTTTAATAGCTATTCTTCCCCCACTCTCCTTTAATGGCAGCTCCTCTCTATAGCTCTTTTGAAACTGATCTACTCATCTCTCCATCCTTAATGGCGTCTCTTTTCTCCCTCCTTTCATAGCGACTCCTCTTTAGACTCTTTTCTTGACGTCTCGTCTCTCCCTTTTCTCTTGGGGTCTCTTCGCTCTTTTTCTTGCGTCTCCTCTCTCGATCCCTTCTTTCGACTACAAAATATTGCGTTTTAAAAGACTCATGAAAAGACTCATAATTGTAAAAACGGTGTAACCCCGGACTGAGTTCGGTAAATATTATCAAATTTCGCAAAAAAATATTAGATTAAATGAAAACATGATGACTAGGGTGCGGCAAGATATGCATGAAAAATCCAAAAACATGCGCATATATGCATCGAAAACCCCAAAATATGCAATGAAATATGCAAAATTTAGTGACATATGCACTCAAAATTGACTAAATTCATATCTGTGCCATCTGTGCATATTTTGGGAAATTCTGTGCATATTTTGATAAATTTTGCATATTTTTACCAAAATTTGGCATATTCTGGCATTTTTTTGACAAATCCTTAGTTTAAGTTATTTTTTGGCAAAATTTAAAATTTTTTGAAAATTTTTTTTCGAAAAAATTTTTCAAAAAATTTTATATTTTGCCAAAAAATAACATTTAAACTAAGGATTTATCAAAAAAAATGCCAGAATATGCCAAATTTTGGTAAAAATATTAAAATTTCCCAAAATATGCACAAATATGGAAATATGCACGGAAGTACTGAAATATGCAAAAATATGTAATAAGAACCGTGTCCTAAAGTGCTCGGACCGATGTAAAAACACCATTTTTGAGCGTTTCAGCTTATAGCATATCCGCATGCAAAATATGCATTTACATGTTTTGCCGCACCCTAATGATGACATTAAAAGATTTAAAATTATTCTATACTAAGAAAAAAATTATGCTATCTTTTCAAAATTGAGAGGTTTTGGTACCCAAGGGTGATTTCTCAAACCCTTCCAACAGCGTTAAACTGCCTTTCTTGGCTTGGTTTGTGATAATTAAAAAAATTTTTTTTAATAATTTTGGAAGTTTCTATTTTTGTTTAGCAAAATTTAAAATATTTCTTACTTCCTGAATTTACTTCAGATATTTTAAACAATAATAATAAATAAATTAATATAAAAAAGTTTAGCATTGAAAAGCGCTTCATAATAAAATAAATTAAAATTTCAAAATAAAAAAAATAAATATAAATATGTATATATGAGAGCTTATCCCCGCTTCATTATAAAATTAAATCAATGGACAAATATGTATAGAATATTATAATAAGTAAATTTTTGTAAATGCTAAAATTATTTTTTAAAAAAGCTAAAGGAGTCTATTTTCCTCTAATCCTCCTTTAATGGCAGCTCTCTCTAGATCTCTTTCAAAACAGCTCTACTCCTCTCTCCATCCACAATGTCGAGTTTATATAAAATCGTCCTGCGTTTTGCGTCAAAAAGATCATTTAAAAGGAGGAGAGACATGATTGCGTTTTTCATTTCAAATGCTATTTTTTGCCGCTAACGCTCTTCTCTCCACCCTACATGGCTCTCTCTCTTTACATTCCTCTCAAGGCGTCTCATCTCTCCCTTCCCTCATGGCTTATTCGTGTCGTTTCCTCTCTCCATCCCTTCCTTCGCCTGCAAAATATTACTTTTTAGTGGCTCATGATTTGGCGGAATTAACAAAGGGTAAAAATATAATCCATTAACTTAAAAGGGCATAAATAAAAGGGCACCTAAAATAAAACTTTAAAATTATTTTTATTAATAAGCTTATTGGAGGTCTATAAATTAGTTTCATGTCTAATAATTTACTTAATATGATTTAATTAATTAATATCAGTTTAAATTTTGATGGAACTTTTACTAAGTTAACCTTGAAAAATCGAAACACTTAATTTTTTTGGATGTCGCATTTAAGCTGACAAAACATCTATTGTATTAAATTAAGTAAGAATTCTAGATGTCATTTGTTTTCTTGAAATTTTTTCGAAATTACTTTATTTTTTGCCAATTCATTTCATGACATGTTGGAAATAATTTTTTGGGAAGTGGAAGTATAGTTATGTGGAGGTGTTTTCCAAAAAATATTTAGAACTCTAGTAATTTTAAGCCGAAATTAAATATTAATTTTTTATTAGTCTTTTAGTTGCCTGGGTCAACATTTAAACGATAATCTGAAAAAATTTTGGGGTCGAACAGGAAAAAACACGAAAATAGGGGTGGAAGTATAGTTATGTGGAGCACTGTAGTACTATAGCTTTAGATTTATGTTACAACCGGAGTTTTGCCGGTTGTGTCCGAGAATTGTTCGATGTTGACGTGCACAAGGATAACAGTTTATCCGACGTTGAAATGAAAAATGAAGGCTAAGGGATTGGAGAGCTGGAACAGACGTCGGAGATCAGTAACTAGCCCCGTTAGTCCAACTAGACTGACGCTTTCACTGTCTTTTATACTATAGTGGCCTACAAAACAAATTATAAACTAATATTATTCAATTTTAATATTATCTACGTATATGCAACAAATATCTATTCAGTTAAGAATTAATTTTAGTACAACAACATAACAATTTTTATTTATGAACCGCTAGCAACATTTCAATAATTCTAATTCAAAAAATCAACAGCCTGTGATACCTAAAATTTGAACGGAATTTATTAATAAATTAACACAACAGCTACCATTCCTTTGATTTTTCATATGACCGCGAAGCAATTTTCCAGAGGGACTGAGACATTTTTCTTGGTTTGCCTGATCAGGGGTACAATAAGGCAGCACCAAGGAGTAGACTTCATCTTTGTTAGATAGTGACCATTTGCAGTAGGAAAGTTTGTTTTGATCCATAAAGGCCCAACTGAAATGTAGAAGAGTGTAAAAGTTGGAAATCATAACCTTAGATATTCTAGAACAAATGCACCTTTTATCTTGTTCCAGGGATGGCCGGGTTACTCAAGACCCGACCCGAAACCCAATCATAATAAAACTTTGGAGACCCGACTTTTCCCTGTTATGTTCATACTGTAAAATTGATTGAATGGAGGATGGAATTGAATGGATTAAGCCCAAACCGTAGCAATATAGACTGTTATTTTTATACATTTATACTTGTTCTGGTCAAAACACCTAATCTGAACTTAAACGATATTTGGAGAGTGACAGGATCCAGAGGAATCCAACTGGGAGAGACCTTTCCGCAATTTAATATCGGAAGGAAGATAGAAGCGGAATTGCTCCTATCTTGATTCCCACCCATATTACAAATTAATTACAAAGATTTCATCTCATTGGGTTTAAGCGGAGCAGGAAGATTAACATCAGCATCGCCATATTCACTAATAAAAGTTCCTATTCCTTTTGATTTTGCTTTTAAAATCATTTTCTTTTGATTCTCAATGTGCTGGTTATTTGGCACAACATAATAATGTAGAGCATACCTAAATAATGAACTTTCTTGGTAAAATTTATGAAAAGTTCGATAGAGGCTAATCATTTACAGTATTTTTACTACATAAATTAAATTAAATTTTTTAATCTTGAAAAACAAAGAAGCTTTTTACAAACTTGTATAACTGCTCCAACACTGCTGAACGCATATTTTTGGATGTTAGTGTGATTCACTAACAAAACTGATCTCTATTTTATGGAATATAAATCTGTTTAATCGTTTTAAATACCTAACCTTTGGATATTTGTAGGGTTATTCCACGATCGGAGAGGGGCTTATGGAAAATATGGAGAAGCGAAAGTGGGTCGAGGGTTTTGAAAATTGAAAAATCTAACTCAGATTTAAGAAACGTTTGGGAATTGGAATAACCCTATTAAACAGTAACCCAACTTAAGTTTACTTATTAACAACTAAAAAGTTATTTACAATAAATTTTTTCCAGAAACGGGACTGTTGATTACATCATCACCTGGACCAGCTGATTGCCAAGGAGTACCGAGAATTACAACAACATTCGGGTCAAGTTTTCGAACACGCTGTTAATATATAATTAATTAAAATGTTTAGAAAGTCGTAATTCCTTCTAAGGTATTTCCTTGTGGATACCCAAAACTAGCTATGAATGATATAATTTGCCTAATGCTTTAGCATGGCATCCAAAAAATTACAGTCTGATTTCCCGAGTATGCGTATGTAAAGTCTTCATTTAAGCTTAAGAAAGGTTATAAATAAAAACGTTGATTATGAGCTGTATACGCGGAAAAATCATTTTGAAGAAAAAAATAAATTTATGTTAATCTACAAAATACATCGGATCTCATTACAACCTTGTGACTGAAAAAGTAAAATGCAAACTATCAGATAGAGGTTGTTATCTAGATTAATAAGCTTGACGTTTGGATGACTAACATATCTAAGCACTCAGCTTAAAATTTTTGTCTGCTTAAAGCGACATACAAAAATAACACACATAATCAAAGTAAATATTTTAGGAAAAAGAAATTATTCATGCTATTTAAGTTGAGATTAATTAAATATATTATATGTAATAGATCCTTAAAGAGATACGATGGTAGATTTTCAGTTGAACCTCTCTAAAATTGTGCCCATCCCATGCACTTAAACTTCGCTCCATAGGTCATCCCAATATGGCTCCCAAAGAGTATTTTAGGCTGATTTACTCTTAATTGACAGAAAATTCTGTCCGAAGGAATAATAATTAGGGAAGTTTTAAAATAAAATTTAGAGATATAATCTATGAGCACCCGATCTAATACAGAATCAATCTTAGAAATCGTATACTAAAATTAAAATTACCTATTTCTAGGCTTTTATAAAAACTAGCTTTGGAACTAAATCATTTGCCTAATGCTCTAGCATGGCATTCAAAAAATGAATATGAAGACACTATAAGTTCTACTATATGAGTAATATTCGCTAGCTAAAGAAAAACGAAGAATAAAAACGTTGATCATGAGCAATGTGTTTCATATCATTTTTACTACGCAAGCATAGTCGGAACTCATTATAAGAAACACGGCTTAAAAGGTTTGAAAGTAATAGCCTTTTGAAAATCTAGATTAGTTTAGAACGATATCATTTGCCTGATGTCTAGCATGGCATTCAAAAAATTATATTCCCAACATGTGGAGCAACCGTATAGGTGTAATCTTGATTGACTTAAGTAAAGTGAATAATAAAAACGTTGATTATGAGCAATATGTCCCATATAGTTTTTACAACGTAAGCATAGACTGATCTCGTTATAAGAGACATAGCTGAAAACTATATGGAAGATCTCCAGGCAGCTCACTCAACCAATACCCAACCAAATTTTTACAACGATGTTTGATATGTAGTTAAGCCTTAAAAACTTACTGCTAGCACAGCATTGTAATACTCTTTTAATTTATTCCAAGGACATATAGGCTCATTCCACAGTTCCAAAATTAAGTTTGGAGACCCTTTGTATTTATTCAATATTGTCGTGAAAAAAGTAATAGCGCTGTTAGTGAACTTTTTAAATTCTGCATCGTTTGTACATTTTTGGTTAGCAACATCGTGCCAGTCAATTATGAAATAAATTCCGTTCTTAAAATTATTTTTAGATTTTTGTATCTAAATGTTACCGCGATGGCGGCATCTGCAACAGTCATGGCTGCCTTAATCGCTGCCTGTGGGTTCTCCAAATAGCCAGAACAACAAGTTCCAATAGCTGCTCGAACCTGAGGGAAAAATTTTTATTTCGAGCATGAAGTAGTAGAGCTGCCCAAGACTCTTAATCTCAAGTCTTGAGTTTGAAAATTTTCGGTCTTGGACAGCTCCATGAATCAGCAGCATGGTCAGGGATCGTAACTTTTCGGAATACACGCACTACACGCACCTGTATATGAGCCTAGATACCCTAGAACCTCTCTTGAAAAGTTAGATTAGAGACCGGACCGAGTCAAGAAGTCGATCGAAAATCTCGGTTATCAAGATCGAGCAAAAAATTCTTTTGAGATCTCATTTCAAGTGACACTCCTAGCACTGTCTCTAATTTAGATACATTTGGACTTAACTAATGTTTGTCCAAAGATTACTCATTTGCCTAATGCTTTAGCATGGCATCCAAAAATACTCTGTTCAACTCAAACTCAACATCCGATCAATTATAATCTCCTATTTAGCTTTAGAAAAATGACGAATAAAAACGTTGATTATTAGCACAATATTTTATGTTCCAGGCGATTGATAAGGAAATATTTCTCGCAAGCCCTTCTCTAGGACAGAAATTTAGTTTTGTTTCAAAGCCGAAATCGTTATAAATTTTATAAGCGTCGTATTAGTCTTCTCTAAAGTTTAACAATTCGAAAAATCGTTCGGCTTTCATGTATCATATTTTGGATAACTCTTGACATCGCCGATTCCGAAGCCTAAAATAGAATAAAAGAAAACTTACAACATTTCCATTAAAGAAACATTTAATAGCCTTAACAGCTGGAGGAGAATACCATTGAGTTAACCACTGACTGAACCAAAGAGAAATTCCTCTCAACTGAACCGGACGACCATTTGCCCCAACTAATTGGCCTTTATTTACTGACAGTCTTCCAAATGGAGGGTTTGCAGCTAAAATGGTTAACGAGCAAATGAAGAGGATAAACAATAAAATTAATTGAAAATTATTAATTAACATTTTTGTGGGATTTTGTAATGGGACTTTATCAAGAAGAGCTTAATGAGTTCAGTTCTAACTCCTATTTATATCAGCATTTAAGGAGCCTTTTCAAATGTTTGTACAAACATGAACCTTCGTTTTACCACTACTAAAGTGCATTTCTGTTAATAAATTATAAAAATGCAATAATTTATATTAAGTACAACTTAAAAAAGTTTATATGAACTTTATAATAGAAACCTGTTCAAATATAATTCTAGACAATTTTAAAATTTCAGAGAAGAATTTAATTAAAATTTAGTTTTAGGAATTTTTATTAGAGTGTAAAATTTTAAGTTGTAGTACAGATATCAGGAGGATTTTTGTAAGACTTTGACTTGTCCGACCGTGTTTGTCGTTCATCGTCTTAAGTTTTTTGAGTTAGCATATTAGCCTAACACGACAACCACGTAAATGTGACCTTTTGCTAATAGCAGCTGGATTCTCGTTTTGCGACTGAACTAAAATAACAAGCCTGAGCTCCAGATATCCAAGAATTTGACACATTCCGTATATGCTAATTACCAATATTAATTTAATTATTAATTACTGTTAATTACGCCTCCAGTAAAAGGTTGAAAAAATAATTCCCCTGGGTATTTATTTTAGCAAACACTGTATTTTATTTAGGTTTAACTTTTCTCTTTAAGCTTTTCACGGCAACATGACTCCAACACACTAAAATGGCCAAACATTCAAATTATATAAACAAATCAATTCATAATTTTTAAATAAAATCAGAGTCGTCGCGAGAGTCCCCCCATGCTTGCCTTCACAAGACACACATTGCCAGTCAAATGATTTTTTCAATAAATCGAAGACACATGGAGGATTCATGAGGGGAGAATTGAGCGTTTTACAGCACGCTCGCTTAGAAATCGCGACGACAATGAAAATAATTTAGAGAGCGTCCCTCTTTTAAAATGTATTCCCTCTTATTGCCCCCCTCCCTCCCTTATCCCTTCCCCTCTTATTGCCCTCCTCCCTCCCTCCCTTTTCCCTTCCCTTCTTATTGCCCTCCTCCCTCCCTCCCTTTTCCCTTCCCTTCTTATTGCCCTCCTCCCTCCCTCCCTTTTCCCTTCCCTTCTTATTGCCCTCCTCCCTCCCTCCCTTTTCCCTTCCCTTCTTATTGCCCTCCTCCCTCCCTCCCTTATCCCTTCCCCTCTTATTGCCCTCCTCCCTCCCTCCCTTATCCCTTCACCTCTTATTGCCCTCCTCCCTCCCTCCCTTATCCCTTCCCCTCTTATTGCCCTCCTCCCTCCCTCCCTTATCCCTTCACCTCTTATTGCCCTCCTCCTTCCCTCCCTTATCCCTTCACCTCTTATTGCCCTCCTCCCTCCCTCCCTTATCCCTTCCCCTCTTATTGCCCTCCTCCCTCCCTCCCTTATCCCTTCACCTCTTATTGCCCTCCTCCCTCCCTCCCTTATCCCTTCCCCTCTTATTGCCCTCCTCCCTCCCTCCCTTATCCCTTCACCTCTTATTGCCCTCCTCCCTCCCTCCCTTATCCCTTCCCCTCTTATTGCCCTCCTCCCTCCCTCCCTTATCCCTTCACCTCTTATTGCCCTCCTCCCTCCCTCCCTTATCCCTTCCCCTCTTATTGCCCTCCTCCCTCCCTCCCTTATCCCTTCACCTCTTATTGCCCTCCTCCCTCCCTCCCTTTTCCCTTCCCTTCTTATTGCCCTCCTCCCTCCCTCCCTTATCCCTTCCCCTCTTATTGCCCTCCTCCCTCCCTCCCTTATCCCTTCACCTCTTATTGCCCTCCTCCCTCCCTCCCTTATCCCTTCCCCTCTTATTGCCCTCCTCCCTCCCTCCCTTATCCCTTCACCTCTTATTGCCCTCCTCCCTCCCTCCCTTATCCCTTCCCCTCTTATTGCCCTCCTCCCTCCCTCCCTTATCCCTTCACCTCTTATTGCCCTCCTCCTTCCCTCCCTTATCCCTTCACCTCTTATTGCCCTCCTCCCTCCCTCCCTTATCCCTTCCCCTCTTATTGCCCTCCTCCCTCCCTCCCTTATCCCTTCACCTCTTATTGCCCTCCTCCCTCCCTCCCTTATCCCTTCCCCTCTTATTGCCCTCCTCCCTCCCTCCCTTATCCCTTCACCTCTTATTGCCCTCCTCCCTCCCTCCCTTTTCCCTTCCCTTCTTATTGCCCTCCTCCCTCCCTCCCTTATCCCTTCCCCTCTTATTGCCCTCCTCCCTCCCTCCCTTATCCCTTCACCTCTTATTGCCCTCCTCCCTCCCTCCCTTATCCCTTCCCCTCTTATTGCCCTCCTCCCTCCCTCCCTTATCCCTTCACCTCTTATTGCCCTCCTCCCTCCCTCCCTTATCCCTTCCCCTCTTATTGCCCTCCTCCCTCCCTCCCTTATCCCTTCACCTCTTATTGCCCTCCTCCTTCCCTCCCTTATCCCTTCACCTCTTATTGCCCTCCTCCCTCCCTCCCTTATCCCTTCCCCTCTTATTGCCCTCCTCCCTCCCTCCCTTATCCCTTCACCTCTTATTGCCCTCCTCCCTCCTTCCCTTATCCCTGCCCTTCTTATTGCCCTCCCTCTTAATTGCCTTCCTTGGCCATTTCTCATAGGCAGCTAACAGGCAAATTTAAATTTTATTTAAATTTATTTACAACCTCTCCTTTTAAAATTCGTTAAATTTTATAAGTCAACCCATTCCAACATATAAATTGGCCAAACAACAGGTTTTCTGTTTGGGGTTGAAATAAAATAGCCAGAGGATTCATGGATCGGAACCTATATTCTTGAGGGAACCTATATATTTATTCGTCAGCCAAAAAGCCTGTGATTTTGCGAACAAAACAAAGATCGTCTCTCACTGACTTCAGTCGGTGCACTTAAGTTGCTCGGCGCAACAGTCACGGAATAAACTGGACATAACAATTCACACAAACATCAAGCCGAACAACTGAGGATGCTCGTTCCTTCATCTAAATAATTTTAGTATAAGCTAAGTATAACTCGCTAGTTCAGATCTGCCTTGTTAGATAAACATTTTATTTCCAGTAGGGAGCCCAATCCTTTCAGTCCAAGGCAAAATAAGAATTTTGGTTTTTCGGGGTTGAATTATTATTTAAATAAGTAGTATTTTCCTTGATTAATTTTTAAATTTTTAGCAATGTTGCTTAAACAAAGCTTGTTAATCAAGCATTTATTTATAATTATTTTTGTTCTTTTTTTGCTCCCCCAACCTTCCCAAGGTATTCAACGGGATGTTAAGGAGGAAAAAGAATCGTTGATCACCCAAATTAATTCAATCGTGAACATTGTGGAGAAAGAAGTTGAAGGCTTTAAAGACCTCGCTTGGAATTCGTTTCCTGAACAAGTTCGAAATCTTATATTTATGAAGAAAGTGGAAAATGAAAAATGTTATATAACAGATTTGAATGGGAAGAAGTTCGCGGGCATTGTTGGTATTGTTAAGTATGTTCAAGCAACATCTAACAATCCAATAAGCGAAGATCATGAGGTACTTATTTCAGAATTCATTTAATAACCACTGGTACCCGTCATGTCCGATGTTCATGGTCTTCTCCTTTTTCTCTCCACAGTGACAGAATGTCAGATCATCACAGCATTTAAGGTTCGCTGAAATTTCCTCAGGCTAAGCCTGGCCTGTCCGACCGCGCCATTTGTCATGTCCGATGTTCATGCTGTGGAAAAATTGTGGATGGGAGATGGAATTGAACCATACGTAAAGGGCCCAGACCGAGGCACAACCGACTGTGCCTCCATCCAACCCAATGTTGTGTTATTTTTTTCATTTATGTTCTTTCTGCAAGTGCGGACACAACAGTACCTTATTACCATCTCGCCACCTTTCTATTCGGGTCTCAGATTAATTTTCATTTTATTCTTTCTGCCTAGGAATGGTCAAATCTCCTTTTTATTAATTTTGATTTTCGAATTAGCCGTCTATTCTTCCTTCGTAATTTTTGTTAATTTAACTTTTACTTAAGATGCTTGTAAGATAGTCATAACTGATTGACAATTAAATAAATATTAATCTCAGAGATGGGATTATTTAATAAGCCATGAAATCCGGTAAATATTGGTTGAGTTCCGACTCTCTCAGAGCCCCGACTTTGAGATCTTGCCTTAAATAAATAAAAGATAAGTGCAAAAATGTTCCCGGAGGGAGCAGCACAGTAATATACCGTTAGCCCAGTATACCGCCGAGCTATAACTTCGTTCAAAATTGTCGAATCCGGGAAGCCTTGGTATCGTTTGATGCGCCTCAACGAGCTGAATCGAACATACCAGGGCCTCCCGGATTCGACAATTTTCAACGAAGTTATAGCTCGGCGGTATACTGGGCTCGCGGTATAATGGGGTGTACCCGTTCCCGGACACTCTAGATTGAGGAACGCTTCATTAGTTAGCCATTCAACCCAAGCAGCGATTCAGCCTAATTCCAAGGGAACCTCGTACTCACACCTTCCTCACTCTCACTAAAAATTTTCATAATTTAGAAAACTCAAGAGAATTTAGAAACTTTGATCAAAACATTTAAAAATTTGGATAATTTAAAATTTACAAATGGACAGAAACAAAAAGTAAAAAATATGATTATAGACATTGTTAACAATTTAATTAATTCTCGTAATGAAATCAACTTGAAAATTATGCAAATAAAAATTCAATTTTTTTACTGGTCTTAGCGCTAAAAAATTTGAAGAATTGAAAAATGAAATTGAAAAAATTGTGAAAGAAAATATACGCAATGATAAGATTTTAAATATTAAAACCAAAAGTTTTATCAGTCACATTAAGAAAGAATTTGAAGAGAAGAAGAAGGAAATTAGAGAAAAGCATGTAAAAAAGGGCAAAAGTATTATATCTATTCATTCAAAGGTCAAAGAAAACAAAAATGGAAAAAATTCTGTTAACTCGGATTTAAAGAATATTAATCCGGAGATGATTAAAATTGAAGACTTGACAGATAACGGTCAAAAAATTCTCGAAGATTTGGAGACGGAATTGAAAAATGATGTATGTCCTTAGATCAATCTAAGTTTACCGATAGGTTTATATGTTAAAAATCAGGGCTATGCGCCATGACCGTTGGCGTTCATTTTTGGCCAATATTTGAAAAATTGGCACAAATCTCAAAAATTCCGGCCTTCTCGACAGCCCCAGAATTTAGCATAAATCTTCGTGCCGGCAAAAAGAAAAGTTACCATTATCAGTAAAATGAATATTATGCATATTCTGCATTCCTCTTTACTCTTTTAGGGCCACAAATTTAAGTTGATAAATCAAAGTTTTAATTTATTTAAAATTTAATATATTTAGCAAGGTAATTTTGAAGAAAATGTCAATAAATTTTATTCTGAAAAGTATAGAATGCTCCAAAAATTTATTGAAATATTGGACAAAATGAAGCATCTTTTGCTTATAATTTCTCAGGCTAAATACGATTTTATTGTTAAATTACCTGAAAATATTATTAAAAGCTTTGCAGAATTATATGTTTTACGCAATGAAATAGTTCCAGTGTATTTGAAAGAAATAGGGCTCGCGGAAATAGGCAAAGACAACTCGACTTTAGTTAAGGGTTTGTCTTTACAAAATTTTTTAAAGTGACTTTCTATGTAGCGAGGTCTGCAGAGATTTAGCCTGGTTCACTGTAAGGCGGATACATTCTGTTAATATTTTAGAACCCTATTAAGTTTTTATTTATTTTTAAAAAATCCACAAAAATTTCTCTTAACATATCAATCAAAATTAATAGAAAATACGAAAGAACATACATAAGTTTTAATACTCCGTAAATCTCTAATATATGCTACCTTTATAAGAAGCTTATATCCTATTAGTTCCATACGAGGAGACACATTGTAAAAACAAGCCGAGGGCCTAAATTAGCATATTTACTGTAATCCCTTTATCGAGATTTAAAATCCGAAAACAGTTTATCACACGTATAAATACAAAAGGTAGACAAAGGTTGTAGAGAAGGATGAACTTTCTCAATCCAGAAGGAGCGAGTAAGTGTTAATTGAAGATTAAGCATTAAATGAATGTGATAATCACAATAACATAAAAATAACATTTATTTAATAGAAGCAAAACGACTGGAAGATGAGGTTAATCTCTTTCGCTACGATCAATCCAAATTTAACAAAAACTATAAAAAAGGAGAAACAGGATATTGTGTAACTGTCGTACAGTCTGAGCAATTTATTCAAGCAGAAAATAACTTTAATTTAGCGACTGCAAAGGTAATGGAGCTAAAATATTAACTTTGATATATTTTCCTATGTACTTAAAAATTGGACTTTATGGTGATTGAAATAGCTGGTTTATTTTAAAACCTATAAGGAAGAGCTTGAAACACATATTCTAATGATACACCAAAGTATCCGACTGCATTGGGCAAAGTTATGGACTTTTGTTTAACTCTTACATATTTGTCCTTGATAACAATTCGAGCGATATGGGGCTTTGCCCTCTATAAGGCCTGCCTCAGCGAAACATGGCTATCGTGTTTCGAAGACCACGTCTGGTCTACACTCTTTAGCCGCAATAAGATTTGCTTCCTAAATTTGTGTGCTTCAAAGCTGCTTATTAAGTTTTATAGACTTCTTCGTTAAAAGGGCTTTATCGAATGCTATAAAAGGGCAGCTTATTCTACCGTTATAAAGTACAAATTTTACGTTCTCTCAACAGTTTATTTAAATCTTAAGGCAAATCTGGCTCCAATCGTATATGATATGTTCCGTGCATATGGCATATTGGAAATGCATTACAAGTTTACGGAATTTTTGAACAATTTAATGGATAATGATTATCATATCATGCTAAACAATGTTCGTGAAGAGATGAAAGATTTTTAAATGATTGTGACTTGAGACGATGTACATACATATCAGAGTGAAAAGGAAAAAAAGCTCTATTATTTTTAAAGAGTCCAATCAAGATCTATGCTTTTAAGTGGGCATGCTTTTAAATGGACATACCAAGGTCTGGCCGACAGAAATGAATTCCCAATTTCAGTTATTTGAACTCTCAATCAAAAAGATCTCGATTTTTGTGATTAAGTTCTGTTAGACCCTAGTATATACTAGAATTGAGCAACGTAGGCTGGAAGAATTAGAACTAGTCTAGTTAGTTTCTTTATAGTATACTATAAAAATTCATAAACCTTGATCGGACTCATAAAGTGTAAAAGAGTTAAAAGTTGAAAATTTATTTGTTAAACAAATATCAATTTTATTCAAATTTACATCCCTTATTTATGCATTATTTTTTAAACATACATATTTCCTTATTTATACCTCTGTATATGTATACCCATTAAATTCATGTAAATATTCTTGATGATTATATTTATCTTGTTTTTTTAAACTCCATATAAAACTTTGTCTAACAAGATTGAACTAATCGTTTGTAACAAGATTGAACAGATCGTTTTCATTTTGTCAGAAAAGTTTAATGTACTGTTATCTTTATTTAATCGAATTTTGCCTTTTTTAATCTAATTTAGTTTATACTATACAGAACCAGCTCAAAATTCTAATTACATGCTTTCCGATTGCCTTGACCTGAAGATAATGATTCACCACCATAGCCCGTCTAGAATCTTTTCAACAGCCGTCATGTCTTCTTTAGCATTGTTATGTTGGAGAATTATTGTCGAACATCAATTTAAACAATGCTGAGAAAGCTCTCCAAAATCATCATATCCTGTTGTTGTCTGACTGTTACTTTGCTCGTTACCAAAATTATAGACAGAGAGATAAAGGTGTTTTTGTTGACTTTTACAATACTAAATTCCCAGGCTTTCCATTTACTGAATTAAAGAAATTGTGTCGGAGTGATCTTGTTATCCTACCATTTTTGTGAATATGATGACCAGAATTCGTATGAAATCATTTTCAAAAAATCACAGAAAGGCACAGAAAACTCCCCCTTGTTTATTTTTATTAAACTCCTTCGCACTAGCTTCTATTCTACATATCAGACATTAAATTTAATTAATTAAAAATTGCTGTGAATATATGAAATTTTATACAATTTTGGATGAAAATTTACATAATTTTAAATTTGTATATAAATGAATTTACATGAAATTTTACATGAATTTTACGATTTAGAAGGTTTAAATATATACAATGTGTGAATTTAGTTACTTTTTTGTTTAATGCAGAAATTGTAATTGATGTAAGGCAAGGTTCGTATTTGTTCTTTAAATTGAAAAACGACACTCATAAATTTGAAATTAAAATTGTTTGACATTTAACTTCATTTTTAGCCAATACGAACCTTGTTGTAAACGGTATGAAAAAAGATATGCAAAAATTGAGAGAACTTCAACTTTGAAAGTTCAAAACAGTTCTGGCTTCAGTGTTAGAGTTTATACGAGAATGGACGAGTTTTTCTCATTTAAATAACGTTCCCAGATACTAATATTAAGTACACCTTTAATACTAATACTACTAATACTTCCATTACTCTCACATGTAATATAGACATTTGTTTTTGTTCCAACCAACCCTTTTGACTACTCCTTGATTTTTAGTCCTGTCCTTGTGGCTTTTGAAACCTTATCTAATTAATATTCAAAGTTACTATAGTCCCGAGCTCGTACAAACTCTAGTTATAGTTCAATTTGTGTGACCACTTTTTCCACATTTTTTCATCTCCTTAGAAAAAGTTTTTGTTTTTTTCCTAGTGCTTTGCCTCAAATAATGCTTCCTTAAGAAGTGTTTTTCACTTTTGTACAGTACCACACTGTACAAAACTTTTTTTCCAAGGAGATGAAAAACTGAGAAAAAAAAGTCACAAACCGAACTATCACCACCTTTTAACCGAACATCGCTTAATAAAATTTCTGAAACCAATCGAGCATAAAGGAATCAAATTTTTCTTCCACAAATTGAGGCAATTTCTTGACCAAATTTGCAAAATAGTTAATCTCCTTGATCACTTCACGTTGTTCCTCTTTATCCAAAT